AAAACAAGAAAACGAGACAATGAACCAGGGTCCGAGAAAACACGATACGACCCAGGGGCCGAGAACACGAGAAAACAAAAAAAACAAAAAAAAGGTCCGAGCAAACGAGACCACGACCCAGGGGCCGAGAAAACGTTAATATCGGTCGTAGAAAACGAGACCACGACCCAGGGGCCGAGAAAACGAATAGACTAACCAGAGGGCCGAGAAAACGAGGCAACGAGAAAACAAACCAGGATCAGAGAAAACGAGACCGCGACCCAGGGGCCGAGAAAACGAGGCAACGAGAAAACAAACCAGCGTCCGAGCAAACGAAATCGCGACCCAGGGGCCGAGAAAACGAGACAACGAGAAAACGAACCAGGGTCCGAGAAAACTGGAAAACGACCCAAGCGCCGAGAAAACAAGAAACGAGAACACGAACCAGGGCCAGAGAAAACGAGACCACGACCCGGGGGCAGAGAAAACGAGAAAACAAGAAAACTAACCATGGCCCGAGAAAACCAAACCACGACCCAGGGGCCGAGAAAGCGAGAAAACTAACCAGGGTCAAAAAAAACACGACCCAGGAGCCGAGAAAACAAGAAAACGCGAAAACGAAACGGGGTCCGAGAAAACGAGACCACGACCAAGGGGCAGACAGAATGCGAAAACGATAAAACAATCCAGGGTCCGAGCCAGGGGACGAGAAAACAAGAAAACGAGAAAACGAACCAGGGTCCAGGAAAACAAAAAAAAAAAAAAAACGACCCAGAGGACGAAAACAAGACAACGAATCAGGGTCCGAGAAAACGAGACCACGACCCAGGGGCCGAGAACACGAGAAAACAAGACAACGGACCAGGGGCCGAGAAAACGAGACAACAACCCAGGGGCCGAGACAAAGAGAAAACGAGAAAACGAACTGGGGCCCGAGAAAACGAGACCACGACCCAGGGGCCGAGAAAACGAGAAGACGAAAAAGGGAATCAGGGCACGAGAAAACGACAAAACGAGGACGCGAACCAGGATCAGAGAAAACTGGACCACGACCCAGGGGCCGAGAAAACGAGGCAACGAGAAAACAAACCAGCGCCCGAGAAAACGAGACCGCGACCCAAGGGCCGAGAAAACGAGACAACGAGAAAACGAACCAGGGCCAGCGACCCAGGCGCCGAGAAAAAAAGAAACGAGAACACGAACCAGGGCCAGAGAAAACGAGACCACGACCCAGGGGCAGAGAAAACGAGAAAACGAAGCAGGGTCAGAAAAAAACGCGACCACGACACAGAAGCCAAGAAAACGAGTAAACAAGAAAACGAACCAGGGTCCGAGAAAACCAAACCACGGCCCAGGGGCCGAGAAAGCGAGAAAACTAACCAGGGTCAAAACAAAAAAACACGACCCAGGAGCCGAGAAAACAAGAAAACGCGAAAACGAAACGGGGTCCGAGAAAACGAGACCACGACCAAGGGGCAGACAGAATGCGAAAACGATAAAACAATCCAGGGTCCGAGCCAGGGGACGAGAAAACAAGAAAACGAGAAAACGAACCAGGGTCCGAGAGATAAAAACAACAAAAAAAACGACCCAGGGGACGATAACGACAGAAAACAAGACAACGAATCAGGGTCAGAGAAAACGAGACCACGACCCAGGGGCCTAGAAAACAAAAAAGACGAGAAAACGGACCAGGCCCGGAGAGAACGAGACCACGGCCCAGGAGCCGAGGAAATGAGAAAACGCGAAAACGACCCACGACCCAGGGGCCGAGAAAACGAGAAAAGGATAAAACGAACCAGGGTCCGAGGAAACCACGACCCAGGGGGCGAGATCACCAGAAAACGCTTGGTTCGAGAAAGCGAGACCACGACCCAGGAGCTGAGAAAATGAAGAAACGAGAAAACGAAGCAGGGTCAGAGAATACACGACCACCACCCGGGGGCCGAGACAACGAGAAAACGAATATACTAACCAGAGGGCCGAGAAAACGAGAAAACGAGAACGCGAACCAGGATCAGAGAAAACGAGACCGCGACCCAGGGGCCGAGAGAACGAGGCAACGAGAAAACAAACCAGCGTCCGAGAAAACGAAATCGCGACCCAGGGGCCGAGAAAACGAGACAACGAGAAAACGAACCCGGGTCCAAGAAAACTGGAAAACGACCCAAGCGCCGAGAAAACAAGAAACGAGAACACGAACCAGGGCCAGAGAAAACGAGACCACGACCCGGGGGCAGAGAAAACGAGAAAACGAAGCAGGGTCAGAAAAACGAGACAACGACCCAGGAGACAAGAAAACGAGCAAACCTGAAAACGAACCATGGCCCGAGAAAACCAAACCACGACCCAGGGGCCGAGAAAGCGAGAAAACTAACCAGGGTCAAAAAAAAGAAGACCACGACCCAGGAGCCGAGAAAACAAGAAAACAAGAAAACGAAACGGGGTCCGAGAAAACGAGACCACGACCAAGGGGCAGACAGAATGCGAAAACGATAAAACAAACCAGGGTCCGAGCCAGGGACCGAGAAAACAAACACACGAGAAAACGAACCAGGGTCCGAGAGAAAAAAAAAAAAAAAAAAAAAAAAATGCGACCCAGGGGAAGACAACAACGAGAAAACAAGACAACGAATCAGGGTCTGAGAAAACGAGACCACGACCCAGGGGCCGACAAAACAAGAAAACAAGACAACGGACCAGGGGCCGAGAAAACGAAACAACAACCCAGGGGCCGAGACAAAGAGAAAACGAGAAAACGAACTGGGTCCCTAGAAAACGAGACCACGACCCAGGGGCCGAGAAAACGAGAAGACCAGAAAACAAACCAGGGTCAGAGAAAACAAAGCCACAATCCAGGGGGCGAGATACGGAGAACACGAGAAACCGAACGAGGGTCAGAGAAAAGGAGACCACGACCCAGGGGCCGAGAAAACAAACAACGAACCAGGGTCAGAGAAAACGAGACCACGACCCAGGGGCCGAGAACACGAGAAAACGAGCAAATTAACAACGGTCTGAGGAAAATTGGCACCACGACCTTGGGCCGAGAAAACAAGAAAACGAGATCACGAACCAGGGCCCGAAAAAACAACACAAAAAAAGCCGAGAAAGCGAGAAAACAAAACAACGAACCAGGGTCCGAGAAAACGAGACCACGACCCAGGGGCCGAGAACACGAGAAAACGAGAAACCAGACCGAGCAAACGAGACCACGACCCAAGAGCACAGAAAACTCGAAAACGAAACGGGGTCCGAGAAAACACGACCACGACCCCAAGGGCCGAGAAAACGAGAAAACGATAAACGGAATCAGGGCCCGAGAAAACGAGACTACGAACCAGGGGCCGAGAAAACAAGAAAACGAAAAAACGAGCCGGAACAGAGAGAACGAAACCACGACCCGGGGGCCTAGAAAGCAGAAAAGACGAGAAAACGGACCAGGCCCCGAGAAAACGAGACCACGACGCAGGAGCCGAGGAAATGAGAAAACGCGAAAACGACCCACGACCCAGGGGCCGAGAAAACGAAAAAAAAGAAGAGAAAACGAACCAGGGTCCGAGTAAACCACGACCCAGGGGCCGAGATCACCAGAAAACGCCAGCCAGCTCCAGCCTTCCCATGGCATCGCAGCTCCACCGTTGCGCGTCGCTGGGGGTCACAGCGTGAGAAGGCACCGGAGAAACGCATCGGTGGTCGCGTTGCGCCGCCTCGAGAACCTGAAGAGCTCCCCCGGGTGGCTTGTAAGCGTCACTCCTCGCCGAGGGGGGCCGAACTGGGTTGCGAGGTACGCAAGGAGGTAGGCGGCGGCGTTCTCCATCTGATCGTTGGTCCTGCCTCCCTGAATCATCTTCCCCGTGAAGAACGTACCGCGCGCCACTTCGCGAGCGGCGCCACCAAGGTGCAAGACGAGGACGGCGCGCTGCTAAGCGCGATTCCTATGCAGTAGGCATTGCACTGAGTGGCGGAACGGGTAGACGGATTCGCGCTCAGGCGACCATGTACGCGGCCGACGGAAATGACCTCCTCTGCCCCCGCCTGCTCTACCCAGCTGCCCGGCTCCTCCAAGCATCGCACAGGTGAACCACAGAAAGGCGATCACGAGGGAGGTCCATTGCAAAAACTCACCGCGCAGGAATCCTGGACCTCAGACCATGCACGGGGACGAACGCCAGCTCGGAGCTCGGGACACCCGTGGTGGTGCTGCCGCCCCCGGCAGGAACCAGGCGTGGTGCAGCAGGCGTCGGCTGCAGGTCACTCGGGGCGCGCACCGTGCTCACCAGGTTGCAAGCCAGCACCACCGCGCACAGCCCGAATACAAGTATTGGCCCGACCATGCGACCCGGCGCAGAAGATTGCGTTCCGCTGCCAGTTCCAGGCGGTTATGAGGACCTGGGCGTCGTGGCTCCCACGTGGAATGGCGCCCTGCACATAGCCGCCTATTGCCTACGCGACCAGGCTCTCACACAGACTCACTCGGTTTAGCGTTGGCCTCATCGTGCCTGTTAACGTTCAGGGCGAATTGTCCGTACTTTTGCCGAACAACCCTACGCACCAGCTGTTTGCACTCTGCGCAATTCCCGCTGGGATCGCTCCCAGTTCCGCTACCTAGTATAATTGCAGGGGGTGCTAGCATGATGGTAATAAGACACGGGTACAATACCCTGTGCCTTCTCGGAGGTATGTGTTCGCGCCGGCGCTTGAGCCAGACGGCAACCAAGCATCCTATTCGAGAGAGGAGGAGGAGGAGGAGGAGGAGGAGACGGAGGAGGAGAAGCTGAAGCAGAGAGGAGGAAGAGGAGTAGGAGGAGGAGGAGAAGGAGGAGGAGGAGGAGGAGGAGGAGGAGGAGGAGGGAGGGAGGGGGGAAGGGAAGGGGGGGGGAGGAAGGGAGGGAGGGAAGCAGGAGGAGGAGGCGGAGGAGGAGAGAGGAGGAGGCGGAGGACGTGCCCGAGTTTCGGCTCTGGGCCATCCAAGGACGGGGCGGGGAGGCGGGGCAGGCTGCCGAGGCCGAGGAGCGCACCCCGGCTTCGCCGCTGCCACCATTCGCGGGCCTCAGCGGCGCGTCGGGGGGGGGGGGGGGGGCGCGGGGGGCGGGGCGGAAAGGAGGTGGTGCGTGAGGGGAAAACCGAGCGGGAGGGCGGGGTGAAGGAGGGCTGGAAGCCCAAACATGTTCGCGGCGCCGTAACAAGAGGTCAGGTTTGTGGCTGTCTTCGGCCTCCAGGGGCCCTCGCTGGGCCCCACGAGCAACCACAGACTACTCGGGATGAAGAGCCCGCCCGGGGGAGAGGGTCGGGACTTCCGGTGACCCCGCATCGGAGAGAAAACAAAACTATTGGGGATGAAGAAAGGCTAAGCCGTAAGCCCGCCTCCGAAAAGGCAGCTCCGAGAAGAGAAGGAGTGAATCAAGTGGAGATCGCGCACATGCGCAGGCTCGGGAAGGAAGGCGCGAGTCGCAGGGGGGAAGGCGGGAGGAGGAAGGCGGGATGCGCAGCAGGGGAGGGAGGGAGGAGAGAGGGGGGAGAGACAAGCTAGTCATCCCCGACGTGCAAATGACAGACGTTTCTGCCTCATCGCAAACTTACCAAATGAATTCATACCACCCGTGGCAAGCAGGGTATTCCCCCCCCCGTTCATCCTGGTCAAGTGTGTGTGTAGATGTATATATATATACATACATGCATACATATATATATATATAATATATATATATATATATATATATATATATATATATGTGCGCACGCTTTTATCGCAAATGCACGTTGCCCAATGATTCCAAAAAAGCTCATCGCGCGCGCCCACGTCGAAATCACACCAAACACACCAAGGTTGCCAAATGTCCAACATTGAATCCGGATTCGCGCACACAATAACATGATATGTACGTGTTGCAAATATTCTGGCCGCGCGCATGTATTGAAACCATGTGGAAACCATCTGACGTTACAGCAATCGCGCCCACAACCCGCACGTGTCAAGTCACCACGCGGTGCACCCGCGTTGATCCTGCATGCGCCCACACGCAGCAACACCATACAGGCCACCCGCGCGCGCCGCCACGCGAACGTGTGGACATCGGTCTAAAATCCGTCGTGCTCAACGAACGCATCGCAAGATGGGCCTCTTCCAAAACGCGCCAAAAAACAAGGGTTCGTTCACAGAAAACTCGCCCAGGTTTTTGGATTTCTGCACGCGCGCGCACTTCCCCGCCGACTCCCTCAGAAGCACCGCCGCATCACGTCACCGTCATCGACAACCGCCGCCAGTGCCGCAACCATCACTCGAGCACCTCCGCCACCGACACATGAACAGCATCATCGTCATCGTCATCACCAGCATCGGCGCCGTCATTGGCCTTGTTTCGTCGTCATCGTCATCATCGCCACCACCATCGTTGGTATCATGATTGCTGTCGCCATTGTCACCGTCATCATGATACGATACCGCGCCCGCTCGAGTCACCGACCAGCGTTGAAGTGCCCGCGCGCCAACGCGACCTATGAGACGCACAAAGAGGCTACCATCGGTAAGCGCCACCGCGGCCGCATCGGCTGTACCAAACCAGCTGACCGCTTCGCGCGCAAGGCCAACCAGTCATCGCATTTGCGTCCGCATGGACTCTGCAAATCCAGTTTGCGTGTGGGAATGTTGGATATTTACACGAGCTGTGGACCTGGCAGATCACGAGAAGACAAAAACTGTTCGCACCACCTAGATCGCATCACATAGCCTACACCACATGGCTTACATCACATAAATTATCCTGCTGAAAAGGGAATCGGGCCCACCACCCTCCCGAGGCCGGTGTTAACGGTTCCCTTTTTCCGATTGCAATTTACATGCGGTCCTGACCCATCGCCCATCCTTAATATGAACCCATACCATCCCACGGGGCCATTATCGACCCCCCCACAAACACACCCACCATCCTCCGCAAGCAAGATTATGCGCGCACTCGTTCATCAAAAATACACACTTGTCAAAAACCCCTTGCAAACAAAACGAGACGTGGTGCACACGCGCGCGTCGTCGCGCGCGCATGCCGACATCCTGCAAAAACGCTTGGTGTTGTAAGGATTTCAAAATCGAGTGCCCACACGACACGTTATATGTATATGGTATCGCAATACAAAAAAAATCGGCGAACACGCTCTCGCGAATCCTTTTAGCAAACCATGGGTTTGTCAACATTTCCGGACATGTTACCAAACGGGCTTCGCGCGCGCATGTCGAAGTCTTTCGGATGCCCTTGCGCCCGTACTGTCACAAGAACCCGTTGCATAGAACGGGACGACGTGCGTACGCGCGCGTCGTCGCGCGCGCATGCCAAAATCCGTTAACAACCTTTGGTTTCGTAAGAGTTTCAAAAACGAGTGTCCGACAACATTCAAAACGCATGGCATCGCAACATCAGTTGTCCAAACCAAAAAAACGTGCGCTGCGAAATCTAAACAAAACCGGGGGCGTTTCCAACATTCCCGCAGGGCTCTGCCAAGCGGGCCCCTCGCTCCACATGCCGTAATCATTCGAACGCCCTTGCGGGCGTGCTGGGGGGGGGGCACGGCCCGCGTCAAATAATACGACGCGGGCCACTTTCACGCGTCGGTCGCGCGCGCACGCCGAACTCCTTCCAAAATCTTCATCACCGACGCGAGGACGCCGTCATCGTCGCCGGCGTGATCAGCATCGGCGCCGTCACTGGCCGTGCCGTCGTCGCTGCCAGCATCGTCACCAGCATCGTTACTACCATTGTCGTGTCTACCGTTGTCGACTTTGCCATGATACCGCGCCCGCCCAAGTCGCCGACTCGCACTGAAGTGCCCGCTGGGATGTGCCTAAAGGTTAGCGCCCCAACGGTCGCGTCGGCCGCGCCTAACTAGCTGGCCGCTGCGCGCGCGTGCATTTGCGGGCTGGCGCGGCCGCAGGGATGCACCAGCCAGCGCCAAGCACTCATCGCAATCGCCGCCGCATGGGTTTTGCAAACCAGATTGCGGGTAGGTGGATGGGATGTGTGCAGGAGCATGGAAAGTGGTGAAGCGCGGTGCAGGGTAGTCAACTGCACCACGTAGATTGCGCCACATGGCAAAATTCACACAATTCAGACAACATAGATCACACATCATAGATCACACTACATAGCGTAGACATCCGCAGCGCAACATCTCACTGTTCGGGGCCCACGCTGGCAAACATTGTTCGATTCTCGCCTTGTCGCTTCCGATGGGCGCTGTATGCCTCAAGATGGTTCCAAGATGGCCCCGAGAGGGGCCCAAAGGGGGCCCCACGACGGCCCCAAGAGCGCCCAAGAGCACTCCAAGAGCACCCAAGAGGGCCCCAAGCAGAAACTTTACGAGCTTCTCATTGGTAGTCTCCAAGATGGCCCCAAGAAGGGCCCCAGGGCCCCCAGGTGGGCCACAAGAGGACAGGCCCCACGGTAGCCCAAGAAAGCTGTCAAGATGCTCCAACATCGAAAAATGCGCGAAAGCAGATGGTTGACTTCAGGACCTGCTCAGGCTGGCCCCGATCTTCGGATTGACGGATGCCCCTGCCTCCTTCGTCCCACAGCGTGCTCCCACACTTCCCTGAAGAGTACAACTCGCCTGGGCATCGTTGCTGGACGGGCTGGTGGGGATTTTTGGTACGCGGGCGCGCGAAACGAGTCGAACGCCGTGCAAACAGGGGCAGGCCGTGCCACAAGCTAAAGAAAAAACAGAAAAGGTGAGCAGCGCCACGCACAGAGCGGATACTTTTTTGGTCGCGGGCAGACGCGTGAAGCTGTCGCCGAGAGGGGGGTCCGGGGCACGGGCCAGCCGAATTGGCTACTGAACGACGCGCAAGACGGCCGGGCTAGCACTCAGAAACGGCGGCTGAGGGGCTGCTGCTGGTGGAACTGGCTGGATGGTCTGCAACGCCCAGGGAAGCTGATGCAACTTGCAAGTCTGAGGCAGAAGGACAGAGCGGATACGCGAAGCGTCAAAAATTGATTTCCGCCGCTCCTCCGCAGGCTTCAACTGGAGCCGAGGTGCGCAAAAGGCGAAGCTCTTCCTTGAGCGCCCTGTATCCCCCCCCTCTCTTGGACGTCCGCAAGCACCACAGTGCGCGCGCATGGCCAATTACTGCGTCGTAGGAGGGGCACAAGAGGCGGAGGAGGAGGAGGAGGAAGAGGAGGACCAGGAGAAAGAGAAGGAGGAGGAGGAGGAGGAGGAGAAAGAGGAGGAGAAGGCACAGAATGGCCGGGAAGAACGGCCAAAGGACCGATCGCCTCCCAAATGTGTTGGCGTTGATGATCCAGTCAATCAGTTCTCCGATGGCAGTGTTTGTAGGCGAGCTCCGTTCAAGTGCCGCCCCCCCATCCGCACTCGATCCCTCGCCCCGCCTCGCCACACGTGCCGCTCCCCACCTCTGTCCGGCTACATGTGATGTCCTCCCCGTCGGGGGCCCCGCGCCCGCGAACGCGACCCGTCGGAGAGACGGCACCACGAGACACAGGGCGGCCACCGTCGGAAGGGTGCGCTTCAGAGGTGTCCCGAGGCCACCGCTAAGCCATGGGCATCTCGACGAAGTACAGGCCCGCGTTGATCCCGCACGTGAGAGATGATACCTCAGAGAGCGCGACCGACAAAAAGTGCAGCCCCGCATGAAACCTCCACCTACGTGCCGACCCCGATCTCGAGGTACGCAAAGGATCTATATATATATATATGTATATATGTATATATATATATATATACATATGTGCGTGCGTGCACAGCTACCTGTAAATACATGCATGCATACATGCATGCATGCCTACCTGCATGCATGCCTACATACATACATAGATGCATACACACATGCACCCGCACATAGATACATGTATGCAGACACACATACATGTAAGCATATACATAAGCATACATATATGCATACATGCATGCATGCATACATACATACATGTTTGAATACAGTCATGCATGCATGCACATCTGCATACCTATACCTACATACATGCATGTATACATGCATGCATATATACATGCATGCATACATGCATACATGCATACATGCATACATGCATACATGCATACATACATACATACATGCATACATATATACACATGTACATATATACAAATATGCATGTATGCATACATGCATGCATGCATACAGACACACATACATACATACATACATACATACATACATACATACATACATACATGCATACATACATACATATATACGTTTATATATATATGTATCCACACGTATACATACATGTACATACATATACAGACGCATGCATGCATACATGCAAGCATATCTACATACATACATGTATATATACACATGCATACAAAATGCATATATGTGTATGCATGTAAGTGCATACGCACATGTGTTACATGCATGCATACATGCATGCATGTATACATACATACGCACGTACATACGATACGTACAAAACCTGGCGTATACCGCTACATACACACAAACATATACACAGGCATACAAACAAACAAACAGATATTACGTGCATGCATACATACATACGTGCATACATACATACATGCATGCACGCATGCGTGCACACATACATATACATACATGCATACATACGTACATCTATGCATGCATGCATACAAAAATAGTTACATGCATACATGCAAGCATACACGCATACATATGTATATAGATAGATGTGTACACCAAGAGGTTCTTGCACTTAGGGGGTCTCATCTCTTCTCTGAGCAACTGGGCCTGGTTGTCGGTCTGGCCGGCTTGTGGCCACTTGTCGCCACCCGTCGCCGCCGTCCGTGGTCACGATTGTGTTTGTGCGGGGCTCGCACTTTGCTGTTCACGGTTCCACCCTCATTTCGGCGCACCTCTTACACGTTTCGTCACCCCATAGGGAGCCCCACCGAAGGCCCCAGCGGCAGCACCCGCATGCGATTCCACCGCCCTTGTCGGCGCACCCTTCGCACGCTTCCTGGTGTGGCCGTCTGGTACTGCGCCGCTTTCTGGCCCGTGTTGATCCCAGCATTGTAGCTGCTAAGGCTAGCCTCTATCTACGCCCCCGACATCCCAGTGAGCACCGACAGTGCCCGCTGCCATTGCCCGCCTTTTCCGCATGCGCTGATCCCAGCATTGTAGCTGATCACTCTGGCCTCCCACTTCCCCCCATGCACCTCGCGGAGTAGCTGCAATGCCGCGCTCCAATGCTCGGCCCAAGCACACGTCTTGATTGCCACATTTCGAAAACAACACGCAGTCAATCCGTGAAACTCTTGCAAATGTTTAAAGCGAATGTGCGCGGCGCGAACATGAGAGCCACATTATGAAAACCACACGCCCTCAAACCGTGAAACGATTGCAAATGTTAAAACGAATGTGCGCGGCGCGAACGCGAGAGCCACATCTTGAAAACGACCCGCTATCAATCCGCGAAACTCTTTGCAACTAGAATGAATGTGCGAAGCGCTAAGGCGAGAACCACATTTTGAAAACCACCCGCCCTCCATCTGTGAAGCTGTTGCCACTATTTAAGCTTCAGCGTCATACATGGTGAGGAAGCCTTAGGCGAAACGCCTGGCCCCCCCTAAAAACTGGCCTCGGGGTGCGACAGTGACAACTTACTTAAAAGGAACAATAGTGAAGGAGGAAGGAAGGCCCCCGCCCCTCCACACCCCCCTGGTCACGTCACGATTCGCGCGGGCGCCGTCTGGGCATCAGCCAGTCTTAGGCACTCCCAGACGGCGCCGGCGCGAATTGTGGCGTGACCTGGCGCACCCCCCTGAAGAGGTAACCACTGGGAGGTCTTCGTCGGAATGATTAAAAGAAATCCTATTGGGGGCGTACTACGCTGGATTAGGCCGCGGATCAAAGGGAATGAAACCAGATTAAACGAAATTACGCGGATTACGCGGGACCAAGGCGGATTAAGCTGGATTTCGGACCAGGGCAAAGTCAGAATTTAACCTACCAGGAGTTACATCCGAACTCCCCCCTCCCACCCCCTGTCCTTTGGCCACGTCCGTTATAGCCAGGGGGATTGGAAAAACTGCCTCCAAGAAGATCTACTAAAAGGCCCGTAAGGGCCCCAAGATCTCCCCACGACGGCCCCTGCCCCAGTGTTTCCCAAGCTGCTTCCCCAGCAGCTGGGCGATCGCGTAGCCCACAAGCGTGGCAGCACGTTCGCTCGACGTGTCATGACACGGGAACTTCCAAAAGGCAGGGAATGGAAATGACTCGCCGCACGTGCCTTCGATTATTCAAAACCGTACGGTATATTGTTGGGAAGGCCGTCAAGGGCCTCAAGACGACTCGAGAGAGCCCGAAGAAGCCCAAGCAAAACCCAAGATAGCCCTCAGACTGCCCTGGTGGACCCCCGAGAGCTTGCGGTCAATTGGGGCCAATGTAGACAACAAGTGCGCCCATCCCTGCTACCCCCTTATTCGCGTCCCAAGGAAGAGGAGAGGAGGAGGAGGAGGAGGAGGAGGAGCAGCAGGAGCAGGAGGAGGAGGAGGAAGAGGAAGAGGAAGAGGAAGAGGATGATGAGTGGGAAGGCCCGTTGTTGCTGCGGCCCCTGCCGATGACTTCTCTCTTCGCCTCTTCCACGACGACGGCTGCCTGGCGGGCATATAGGGCCGCCGCGTCCACCTCGACGGAGAACTCGCGGTTCTTCAGCTTGAACATCTTGTACTCGTCTCCTCGCAAGGCCCAGGAGGCGAGAGAGGGCGCAAGACAGGAAAAGCTGCCCTCCCACCCACCGGCGGCCGTCGTCGAACGCACTGCTTGCATGGGGGCCCAAAACTCGGGGGGGGGAGAAAGAGCATCAGTGTCACGCCGCCGCGGGGGGCCCTCAGGGCCCCATCAGCGTGCTACTCCCTCCTTCTTCGCCGGGAAAAAGGGGCACCGCACATTGACAATGACACGCCGACGGGGCCCTGGGGCCCCCCGCGGCGGCGTGACATTGATACCCTTCCGCCCCCCAGAAGCACGGTGCGGTGACAGACCGTGCGGCGATCTCGAAGTCCGCATTCACCTCACTGCACGGTCTGCCACCGCAGCATGTTGGGCCCTCGGAGGCCCCAGTCGCCCGAGGAGATGTCCTCGGAGAGCGGCCCGAGTCCCGGAGCCGTGCGGCCAGCCCGAACCCGCACTGACCCACCGCACGGTGTGGTCGCCGCACCGTTCGGGGTGCCCACGAGTTCGGGCCGACTGCAGATGGACGGAGGGTGGACCCGCCTCAGGGGTGATGGACGACGCCTTCTGTGCAAGCGGGCCGGCTGCGATCACGCGCCCTCCCCGCCAGGTCGTCGGGAGGTCCTCGGGGGGTCCTCGGGGTGTCCTCGCAGGATCCTCGGAGAGTGTCTCGGGATTCGTTGATTTGTTTTGCTGAGCTTCGATTCGCGAGGCGTTGCACTGCCTTGCATACCATAACATCAGATGCAATAGCATTGCATGGCACAGCATGGCACACACATATAGCATAGCATGCGCATGGCCTCAGCATAGCATAGCAGAAGAAAACCATGAGCGTTGGCATTGCCAGGCATCGGAAAGCGAACACACACTTTGTTTTGCTGTGTGTCGCATTGCTTCCCATTGCACAGCACTGTTTGCGCTGCTTCGCCTTGCTCTGTTGTCTGTTGCGCATCACTTTGCATTGCTTGTGCATTGTGGTATTTCTACGTCATTACCTTGCCTTATGTTTACACCGATCTGCCGCACTCACTCGTTGCTCCGTCACGCCAACGCCGTCGACACCTGACGCGCGCACACGTCACAATCCCCAGGCAAACCCGGAACGACAATCGCACCCACCTGCCAAAGGCGAGCCCGCAAGCATAACCCTGCCTCGATGAGAAAGAAGTGCCGATAATGCCAAGCGGAATAGTCTCATGGTGCATTGCGTTTCAGTGTTTCGCACTGCCTCGCATTTTGTTGCAGGAATTGCTGCGCATTGAGTTGCATTCCTGCGTAGTGCTTCGCCTAGTACTGCCTTATGTTAGCTTACATTGCATTGAACTGTACTGGATTGCACGGAATTCCTCTGCATCGCTGTGGGTTGACTCGCACAGCACTGGTTCGCACAGCACTGGTTCGCACAGCACAGCACTGGTTCGCACTGTGCTGCACTGAACTATGTAGCTTTGATTTGAAACGATGAGCCCTGCATTGCCTTGCTGTGCATTGAACTCATGCGGGAAAAAAGACGACCAACAACCTACGAGAAAACCAACCAGTCTACCGTCTTAACGGGGCCACGCAAGCAGTCTGATGGGGGGATGACGGAAGAGGGCGCAGCCCTTCAGGCCCTTCAGGCACACACTGATGTGCAAACATATGTATACATTATGTGTTTACATACATATATAGTTGCGCGTACATAGTTCTATTCACATATGTGAATATGCACTGAATTGAATGGAACACCCTCTCCATAAAATTGCAATCTGAGCGTGCGGCCTTCCCAATAAAAACGGGACCACCCAAACGCCCCCAACTGCACCTTCGATTCCCGCCGTCATTCCGCCAATTGCCATCCGATTCCCGCCCGTTGTTCCGCCCACTCTCATGTCATACCTCCTCATCTCGCCTCCTCTTCCTCCTCCTTCTCCTCCTCCTCTCTGCGAGCCTCGTCGTCCTCCTCCGCGCTCCAAGAAGTGCAGTAGGAGCTGCATTGGAAGCTGTAGTACCAGATGAGGGTGCTGTGCTGCTCGCTGTGGTGCGTTCGAAGTAAGGGCTGTAGCAATCGCTGTCGTAAGAGCAGAGCTAAGACTTGAGACTGGCAGTGGGAGCTCTGATGCGGGCTGTAGCACTGCCTGCATCAGGACCTGCTGTACGACCTGGCACAGGAGCTGTAGTTGAATCAAATAACAAGGTTTGGAATGAGATCTGTGCGACCGATTCAAACAGGATCTGCGATGGGAGCTGCCCTGATTGCTGCGCCAGGGAACGGTGGAAGGAGCAGCCACAGGATATATGGTATGCAGTATGAGCTGCAGTGAAAGCTGCACGAAAAGCTGCAACAACGAAAACACATTCGGAGCTGCCGTGGACGACGCGTTGGCACCTGCATTGGGGTCTGTACTACTGATTGCGCTTGGAAGTCGAGTGTGGGCCTTCGTAGCTGTTGTGTAGCTTGAAATGGGAGCTGAACTCGATGTGCAATGGGATGTTTGTTATGAGCTGCAGTAGGAGCTGCAGCAAGAATTCAAATGCGAGCTATACTCATAACTGTAAGCAAAAATACAGTATACGTGTAGTAGGACCTGTCGTGAAAGCTGGATTAGCGGCTGCAAAGAGAAAAGCACTAGGAGCTGCAATGGGATACGCATTACGCATTTGCGCCTGCAAGGTGATCTGCATTAAGATAAAGATTGGAAAATGAGTGTGCTCTCTCGGAGAAACAACACTGAACCCAGTACGTCCGTTCATTGTGTAAACTGCGCAGGTTGAACTAGGACTTGAGATAAGAGTTGCGCAATCAGCTGCAGCAGATGCAACAGGAGTTGTCGTGTGCGCTGTGCTGGTGGCTGTGTGAAGGAGCTGCGGCTTAAGCTATAAGAAAAAAATACGACAGATGATCATGGCGAAGGGCCCAACAATATGCAGTTGTGAGTACCTCGTTGTGGGCACCGCTTTCGGTGGAGCTCCGTATGGAGCCACGAAGCGCGTGAGGGGTGTGCCCACCGGGGAGCCGCATGTGGACTGTGCCGCCGGGGCCTTCGGTGGAGCTCCCTGCGGGGCCTCAGACCCACAACCCAGGCGCAGTGGCGGGATTGGCCGAGGTCATGGTCCTTCTCTCTCCCTCTCCAGCCTTCTCCGATGAGATTCTCTCCCCTTTCAATAAACGTCGCCTGTATAGTCCCTCATCCTCTCTCTCTTCTCCAACTCTTACCCTCTGCATTCGTTCCGATGAGCCTCTCCTTCACCACTCCTGGAGCCAACCAACCTCCCATAACACTGCACATCCTTCGAGGACGTACACGCGCGAGCCAGGAATGTAGTTCAACCGCAGGGCGTCGTCCTAGCACCAAGCGGCTCATAAATGAGGGAGGGAGAAGTGAGCTGCGGAAACACCACGATACCGATACCGCTAACCCCTGGACCTCTCCCAGGGTGCATCCTGATCACGAATCCGGCCGCAGCGGCGAGGGCCCCCAACGAGGCACAAGAGGCGAAAACGAGGGAAAAGCACGGGCCAGCAAGCTTTTGCTTCTCTTCTGACGAGCCCGATATAGAAGCTACGCGTTGGCTATGAGGTAGCACCAGCGCGTCTTCTAACTTAAAAAACGTTGCCTTACTGCGTTGCTCCTCACAGCTCCAGAAAAACGCTTGGAACGTGAAACGTGCCAGAGTGGAGCAAGAAGGGGAAAGCCATGCTGGCGGAACAAAGCACAACTGGTGTCGAAACGAATCAAGAGTGGAGCAGCAGTGGAGCAAGAGTGGCACGAAGATGGAGCGAAGATGGAACAGGCAGGGACTCGAGCAGGAATGGCGCACCAGCGGTCGGAGGACGGAGGGCGGAGGCGAGGGAGGGCGAGGGAGGGCGAGGGAGGGACGAAGGGGGGCGAGGGGGGCGAGGGAGGGACCAGGGGGAGGCGAGGCGAGGGAGGCGAGGAGGCGAGGGCGGCGGGGGGGCGAGGGAGGCGAGGGCGGGGGCGAGGGGAGGCGGGGGCGAGGGAGGCGGGGGGGCGAGGGAGGCGGGGGGGCGAGGGAGGCGGGGGCGAGGGCGGCACGGGGCAGCCTCGGCGGGAGGGCGCCGCCCTCGGCACGCAGGGGGGGAGGTCGCCGCCGGGAAGCAGGTCGGCCCTCCCAGAGCAGGGGCGCGTACCCTCGGTGTCCTGCGTGTGGCGTCTGACGTCTCCCGCCGTCTCGCGGGAAGGGCGCAGTGGGCCAGCAGGGGCCACACGTTGCCCTCGGGAAGGGCCTCGTGCCCGGCGGGCGGAGAGCCGCGGGGGGGCGGTCCTCGGCCGACACGCCGTAGGTGCCCGAGTAGGCCTGCGCGGGGCGGGCGGGGAGGAGCGGAGCGCGCCGCCGGAGCGGGGCCTACGTGGCCCTGCGGGCCGAGGCGGACATCCCCCCCCCTCCCCAGATGCAGTGAGAACGTACAGGAAGGACGGGTCTCGCCATCGCTCGGACGTCCAGTCCCTGTGCTTTTTTCGGTGTCGTGCGTGGTGTTTTCGCCCAGTGATCAGGGATGCTCCTCGATGGCCCTCGCCGAAGGGGAAAGTGCACACGTCCGAGCGATGCCAAGGGGTGGTAAGGACGCGAGACCCCTGGAGGCCGAGGTTGGGATTTGTGGGGCGGCGGCCTGAGAGGCTGGCCAGGGGAGACAGCAAAGGGCGGGCCGCAGAGGCAAGGACACAAGGGTGCCCTAGAAAAGGCGCGCGTCCCTACCATGCGCGTTGACTGTAGGGGTGAGGACAGGGGCTGCCACTCCCTCTCCGGGCTCCGGGGGGCAGATGTCCCCGCCGGGGTGGTGGGGTGGTGGGGGCCGAGGCGCTACGGCCCCGAAGGGATGAGGACAGGGCACACGATACAGCGGAGGCCACTCCACGAGAAACCTTGCACAAGAAACCCAACCCTGAGACCCCAAGGCGTCCATCGATGTGTGATGTGGGAACGTCACGCTGTCCCTGTCCATAGCAGAACCATCTCTGCCCAAGAAACCCAGGGCACCTTGGAGGCACGCAGGACGTTTCGTGGCATGGGTCTCCACTGCACGGACAGAGGAGGAATTCCATGCACAATCTATCGCCCCTTCGCCCTGTGAGCCGCACAGAGGGGAGGAGAACGGGGGGCGCGAGCCCGCTGCAGAGGTGCGGCACACGGGGAGGCCGATAGAAGAGGAGAACAACGAAGGCGCAGGAGCGAAGCCGAAGGAGGAGGGCGAGGGGCAGGCGCCGCTATGATTTGCCCAGGAAGAGGGAGGAGGAGGAGGAGGAGGAGGAGGAGGAGGAGGAGGAGGAGGAGGAGGAGGAGGAGGAGGAGGAGGAGGAGGAGGAGGAGGAGAGGGAGGAGGAGGAGGAGGCGGAGGAGGAGGAGGAGGAGAAGGAGGAGGAGGAGGAGGAGGAGGAGGAGAGGGAGGAGGAGGAGGAGGCGGAGGAAGTCCGCGTCGGCGACGCGAACCTGCCTTATCGCAGTCACCCCTCAAAATCTCCAGAAGCTCTCCGGACACCTCCGAGGTCGTAGGAAGCCACCGCCCCCCCCACCGCACACTGCGAGGCCGAGGTGACTCAAGCCGCAGGGAGACCAGGCGCACGAGCCTGGTCGGCGATGCCCTCGACCACGCACGTCTCGGTGCAGACGCTGGGGTCGGAGCAGAAGTCAGCCTCTGGCGAGGGGTGGGGGGGGGCAGGGCGGGAGAGAGGGAGGATCGATGACCTGTTTTGCACGAGCTCCAATGTTCGCAGTTGGCGCTGCGCGAAACACGAAGCGCGAAGAACCTCGCGCTGTCGCGCCGCCCCCAGGAAACAGAAGGAGGACGAGGATGACGAGGATGACGAGGGATGAGGACGACGAGGAACGAGAAGGACGAGGGACGAGGAGGACGAGGAGGACCAGGGAGGAGGAGAAAGGAAGAGACCCAGACCGCGAATCGCGAGGGCGCGAAGAACTTCGCGCCCTCGCGGGAGCCTTCGTCTGGGTCCTCCAGAGGCCTCCGGAGGCCTCTGGAAACCTCGGGGGAACCGCCAGAGGCCTCCGGCTACCTCAGGAGACCTCCATGGGAGAAGGAAAAGCAGGGGGGAGGAGAAGGGGGACAAGAGGAGGAGGAGGAGGAGAAGGAGGAGGAGGAGGAGGCATCGTACAATCGTCAGGCCTCTTTGTATCTTGGCGGTCTGGGCTCGGTGCACAGGCGCTCCAGCAGCCCAGTCTGGGAGGCTGGGGGCGCCTGCCTCAGCTGCTGCACGGCTGTCCGAATCTGCACAGCAGCTCGCACCATCCTCCCCGCGGGATTTAGGGGCTCCCGGCCCGCGCCCGGCGCGCGGCGACGACCCCGGCAACAGAGCAGCGCAGAGGCACGGGAGCCCTCTCAGAAGCTGGGCGGATGCCTGGGAACATGGCCTCCACTATTTCAATTAAAACGTCAATATTGTGCGGCCTCTAGCGGCGCGCGAGCAGAGCAGGTGGGGAGGAGCAGCAGCAGCAGCAGCAGCAGGACGAGGACGAGCAGCAGGATGGGCGGCCCCACCCCCGCAGTTCCCTGCCCTCCCCACCTCGCTCGCTCCTGGGCCTCCCCCTCCTCCCCCTCCGTGGGCAGGGCGCCTCCCTCCCGGCTCCTGCTCCTCCGGCCCCCTCCTGCCCCCCACGAGGCGGAGAGGGAGAGAGAGGAGCCATTAGGACGAGGAGCAGGAGCAGCAGCAGCAGCAGCCGGCCACGCCCTGACGGCGGCGAGCCAATTTCGTGCAGCGCCCGAATTCTGAATTGTGGCCCGCCGGAGCCAGGGCCCCTATCGACACCCTTAGGAGGCAACTACTGGGAGGCCTTCGCCGGTGAAGGACTGGGGAGGAGTCGGCACCATTGGAGGGCTGCTGCGCCGGACTATAGGCCGCGGACTTGGCGGGATGAGGCCGTCTGGAGCGGGATCCGGCCGGACGAGGCGGGATATCAAGCCGGAGGCAGCCGGACTTCAGACCAGGGCAAAAGATCCGAAGCTGACCTCCCGGGAGCTGCACCCGAAGACGCCCCCTCCCCTCCGCTTTGGACGCCCGAAATGGGCACGGAAGCAATGGGCACGATGCCCAACAGCAAATGTTGTCCCGAACCAGCAGCGGCCGCTGCTGGGCAGGCGGCCTTCTGCCTCGAATGGACGCAGGCCGCGGCGGCGCGGACGGCGAGCCCTGCGCAAAAGGAACAGGAACTGCTGTGGGGCATCGTGCCCCTTCTGTCCGTGCCCATCTCGCTCGTGCAGCTCCGCTCCGGCGCCGAGCCCAGACCCCCGACGTCGTGACTTTTTCACGACGTCGACCCCCAAAGGTCTGGACCCCTTCCCCGGGACCGGTTTTGCATCCTGACTCGTCTTTTGACGCTCCCGAGGCACGGCAAGGACCTCCAGAGGGCGCAAAGAGCGCAGAACCTCCCGTCGTGATTTTTTTGTCACGACGCGAGGAGGTCTGGGAGGAGGGCGCCGAGGCCCGGAGCGGCGGGCCCGGGCGGGGCGGGGAGCCCCGCGCCGCGGGGGCGCGCGGGGCCGCCGCCCGGAGCGGCGGCGAGGCGCCTATATATATATATATATATATATATATATATGTGTGCATACATAGATACATACATACATACATACATACATACATACATATACATATACATACATACATACATAATACATACTACATACATACATGCATACATACATACAAACATACATACATGCATGCATGCATGCATGCATGCATGCATGCATGCATACATACATACATACATACATACATACATACATACATACATACATACATGCATACATACATACATATAAACGTATATATATATATATATGCATATATAGATATACATATATATATATATATTGTACACATATGTGTATATATATATATATGTATATAGGAGCGGCCCCGGCAGGCCCGGGGCGCGGCCTCTCGCGGCGCGGCCCGCGGGGGGTCCGAGGGCCCTGGCCCTCCAGGAGGGCCTTGAAGGTGAAGTCGGGCGCGTCCCCCTACAGAAGTCGGGGATGTTCGACGAAAAGTGAAGCATGCTCAAAAAGAAGTTCCGAAGTGGACAAAGCATATGCTCCAGAAATGGGCCGCAGACTAGTTGTTGACCATTCTTTAGTGTGCCCCCTGTAGAGGGACAGGCCCGACTCGAGCCTGAGGATGGCACCAGGGCCGTGACCCCAACAGTCGAGTCGAGGTTTTACGCAGGCTGGGCAGGTCTGCAGGTCTGCAGGGTCCTTTTTCTACACTCTGGAAGGTCAGGGGAAGGGGGGCCAGACCCAAGCACTCGAGTAGGGGATCGACTACAGAAGTGAGTTACCCCAAACTTGATTTCCTCGCCGGGTCTACAAACAAAGGCGCTGCACCGTTCGTGCCTTCGACGGAAAAAAACAGTTCTGTGGTGAATAAACTCTGTAGTCGACCCCCTACTCGAAGCGCGCAAGCCGCTGCCGTCGCAATCGGAGGACTCCCGAGGGCCCGCACAAGAACATACTAGTGTACTATATGTCCTCCTCGGAGGAGCGCGTCGACCCGAACATGTAGTACACAGATCTTTTAGTATATCGCTTCTCGAGCGGTACGGCCAGAAAGATCCCGCCACCACGCATGCACTATAAGAGTAGGGGCGACGCACACCTAGTACGGTGAGGGCATTGGATAAGGAACCATTGCATAAGGAATCCAAGGTATAGCAGCTGGTGGAACACCAATCGAGGATTGGCCATGAGTATCGCTGCCGACCTCCTCAGATAAGGAATCCTCCAGGGTATGAAGCCCCCTGGGCACGTTCCTAAGCAAACGCCCCCACCGAATCAGTATGCTGGGGTGACGCCGATCCGAGGGCCCGCACCAAAGAGGTCGGTCTGGCGAAGGGCCGCTCCCGCGTGCAGCCAAGCTCTGATAGAGAGCCCTGGCATCGTGGCGGCCCCCGGGGCGAGCGAGAGCGCAGCAGCGCGCGCCCGCTGCCGCGGGGCCTCGCGGCGCCGAAGTCGGCGCAGGCCCGTCCGCCCGCGCGTTCACGGTTCGGTGGCAACTCACGGGAGCCTTCCATACCATCTTGTCGGCTCCTGCGAATCGACGGAAATCGGCACTAGACGATGCTAATCGACGCTAGATCGACGCCAAATCGTCGCTATCTCATCGACTCCCAGACACTAATCGACGCTCATCGACGCTAAACACGGAATTAAGAAAGTAGACCAGGCTCCCATGATTTGCTACCGGGGGGGGAAGGCTTGCGAGGAAAAAATCCCGGCGGCTTCGCGCGGCAACTCGAGACTCAGTGTCCGTCGGATGTCCACGTCGGAGTGACGCCGCACTCCCCTCCTCGGCACACCCTCCTCCTCTGGGGAGACCAAACAGGCACCGATGCCGCTGCTCCCCGGACCTCTCCTGGGGTGCGTTCTGACCAGGATTTCGCGGCGAATCCAGCGGTGGCGACGAGGGAGGCCCAGGAGGCCCAGCAGGGGGAAAGCGAGGAGAGGGTAGAGGTATGGGTACCTTTCCCTCCTCTGGTCCTCCTCGGCGCTCAGTGCCCGCCCACCTCGCAGCGCTCGTACGGCCTCGAGCGCGCCGCCGCGGCCCGCGCGCCGCCGCGGCGGCGCACCGCGACGAGCAGGGCGAGGGCCGCGGCGGCCGCGCACGCGGCCGCCGCGCGGGCGCCGAGGGCGGCGAGGCCGCGGCCGGCGGCGGGGCCTCCGCCCACGGCGCCGCTCGCCTCTCGGCCGCGCGCGGGGGTGGCCCTGCGACCCTGCAGGCCCGACGAAGAAGCCTTGCTCCTCCTCCGCCTCCCTCCTCCTCCTCCTCCTCTCCTCCTCACTCCTCCTCCTCCACCTCCTCCTCCTCTCCCCTCTCTCCCCTCCCCTCCTCCCCCTCCTCCTCCTCCTCCTCCTCCCCGCCCCACCTCTCGCCCCCGGCCCCCGAGGAGAAGCTGGCACGAGGAGCTGCGCTCGGCGGCCGCCCCCGCCGCCCCCACTGGGAGGGTGGCGTGGGGCCACGGACCGTGTGGCCTCAAGGCGTCCTCGCAACGACCAGAGGGAGGCCACACGGCCCTACAAAAACAATACGCGGAGAGGATGGGAGACTCTTCGGACAGAGTCAGGGGCGAGAGGAGAGTAGTATTCATACTGGCCATCGCTCGGACGTCCATTCCTTGTGTTTTTTTTCGGTTTCGTGCGTGGCTTTTTCGCCAAATGATGAAGGATGCTCCTCGATGGTCCTCGCCGAAGAACAAATGCACACGTCCGAGCGATGCCAAGCATATTGTGTCATTGTAGGGGCTGTTGGATCCACAGTTGGCGCTCCTCGAGAAGCCAAAACTACGGCCAAGCACTTCTGGATAGCGTGTCGCGGCGGCGGCCCCGGCGACATGCTACAGTCGGGGCGTTGACCTAAGGAACCCTAAATAAGTAACGAGGCCCCTTTTTCCCATAAGTTAAACTTCGAATTCCTATCGAAAACATAAGGAAAACCTGAGGCAAGCTGTGAAACACTTAAGGAACGCGGAGCCCCTCCCCAACCAAAAGGGTTCCTTCTTCAGGGCCCCGACTGTACCCTACAGTCAAGCAGTACAGTAAGGATGCGCGATAAGGATGCAAGGGCCTTGGACGCCCATTTCGAAGCTTCTCGAGCGGGGCGCGGCCAGCGAAAGTGGCGAAGGATGGACCGAGGAGGCAAGGATGCAAGGGTACCCTTGGGAAGGTTGCCCATCCTTACTATGCGGGTTGACTGTGTGCCTGCTTCCCCCAGCTGTTCTTCTCGGGAGGGTGAGAGTGACCGTCGGCGGTGGACAAACCTCCCTTTAGCAAGCCTCCCCTCAGTGAAAGCGGCCTGGGGCCGAAACCGATGGAGCTGGATCCGCAGAAACGACGGCCGCGACGCCCTCTCGCGAACCGAGAACGGCCAATTCCTTCATCGACGTGTCAGGTAGGAGGTCTATCCATCTCCGAGACCTTTGGTGCGTCCTGCCACGGCGCCGCGGGGAGGGGCCAAGCCCAGGCGCGCCGGCCAGTGCCGAGGGGGCCCCACACCAAAGGTCACTCCGGCGAAGGGTCCCGCTCACGCGCAGCCAAGCCTCGAACTTCCTCGCGGCCCCGGCGCGGAGGCTCTTGTCCTGCGTGCTCAGCACCTGAGGAGGACCCAAACCTCAGGCGTCTCGAAAACATCAAGACGCAAACCTTTCATCGTGTTCAGCCTTTCAGGGCCCGTCTGGCCGACGGCGTCTCGACGTTCCCGTGTTGTTTGCTTCTGCACGGCGGTAACTTGTGACGTGTTCTACCGCATCGCGTTGGCGAGGCGAACGGTGATGAAGTCAAAGATTGCGACGATGATGTCGACGATGCCGATTATACAGCTCAAGGTGATAACGACAGCGATGGCGATGACAATGACGACAGGAACAATAAAGATAGAAACCGAAAGTCTCTATCCATCTCTCTCTCTCTCTCGCTTGCTCACCCCGTTCTGTGTCGATATCTCGCCCTGTTTCGCTCATGATGTGATTCGTTTGACGTATGTGTTGGCCTCCTCACACACTGTGTCCAGTTCCCTTTCAAATAATCCTTTTGTGGGCGATGTACAATGTGATTCCTAGTGTGTGGATTATAAAGAGAATCTGTTTGCAGCGTCAAACGAGGGTCCCTTTTGTAGGCGATTTGCACATTGATTTCCACCAAGTGAATTACCAACCGAATCATTGTGTCTGGCATTACCATGGGATGATTCCCCAATCAGAGCTTGCCTCTGTAAGGGTCCTAACGGATTCATATGGTTAGGTGAGGTGGGGCGCCGATTTGGTGGCCGGTGGCCGGGTGCAGTGCCCGGGTGCCCGGGTGCCCGTGGGTGCCCGGTGCCCCAGGATTTCGGTGGCCGGTGGCCAGGTGCCCTGGTGCCCGGGTGCCCGTGGGTGCCCCGGTGCCCGGGTGCTCGGGGGTGCCCCGAGGTACCCAGGGGTGCCCGGGTACTTTATAGCCATGTAGCCCTCTAGCCTTATAGCTCGATAGCCCAATAGCCAATAGCCCAATAGCCCAGATAGCCCATATGGCCCTATAGCCCAATAGCCCTATAGCCCTACGGTCCCATAGCCCCTATAGCCCAATAGCCAAATAGCCCTATACCACTGTACCCCCATAGCCATATAGCCCTATAGCCCCATAGCCCTATAGCCCTGTAGTCCTATAGCCCCATAGCCCCAACAAAAACCTGATTTGGTTTTTCTCTCTGTAAGAATATTGCTGATTACGCACTAAGACAGAATCTGAACTGCACTGCACTCTTGTAGCGGATCCGTGACAACAATATGCCAGAACAACACGCAACGCAGCACACAAAAACACGACGAAACATATCAGAAAAGGAAGCACGGAAACGTCGAGACAGACAGTCGCCCCTTACAGTCGGACTTGATTGGAGAGGACACGCGAGAGGACACAAGACCCTTCCGAGGGCCACGTCGCCACAGAAATGCAGGAGGCATGGGTCGCAAGACACAGGACACGAGGGTACAGGGCAGTTTTTAAAACATCGGATGTTTAAAATGTTGGATGTTGAATACATGACTGATTTATGAATAAATGTATACATGAACTCATCGTTGTTTTTAGTACTAAATCCCTGCACTTTTAATACATGATCCGCACGCGGAATATGTATTAAAAACGGCACTGTACCCTTGATCTGGCAGGGTCGACCTACTAATCCGGGCCGCCTGTACCGGGCCTCGGGATCGTCAAAAAACGGCTCGGGATGAAAAACCGGTCCCAGAGAAGTGGTCGAGAGGTCGGGGGCCCGTGTCTCAAAGAAATGGAGACGCCGAACGTCTGGTGAGAGGACAAAAACGAAAAAAAACATGAGCAGAAACACCGTCGGAGTACCGCTGGGATGTCTCGGATCGGCGCTGGGAACCCCTGGCGGCACCTTTGGCGCCGCCCCTGGCGCGCTCCGCCGGGGATGGGGGTCCAGCACCGATCCGAGAACTCCTCGCGGACCTCGGAAAATGCAGGCTTGTGCCGTCTTCCTTCCCTGGGCACCCCCATCTGCGCCCACCGCAGGAAAGGGTCCCGGGTGGAGCTCGGCCCGCTCGGCTCGTCGCCGTCGTCCTGCAGGATCCAGATCTTGTCGTCGTCGTCCTGCAGGATCGTCGACGGGGCGGCGTGCGCGCGCAGCTCCACGACGAAGGCCTGCGTCGCCTCCTGCGCCGGCGACTTGGCGAACACGTCCATGTCCTGCACCTCGAGGCAGTTGCCCGTGTGCGCCACGAGGTACACCGTGTCTCCAGTGCGGATCGCCCCCTCTTTGCCGCCGCCCTGGATCACGAACTCCTGCGAGTCCCGCGGGTTGGCCCACCGGGCGCTCACGACGCTCCCCGCCACGTCCAGGTAGGCCTGGGTGTTGGCCTTCAGGAGCACCGTGTCGTCGCTCTGGATGGGGCCGCCCCCCTCCTTCTCGATGGTGAGGCGCTGCCAGCCCGCCCTCATGTTCCACCGCGCGCGGACCTTCTGGCGAAACCACAAGGCACCGATTCAACGATGGTGCTGAGGGCCTCCCAGGAGGCGACAGAAAAAGGAAAGCGGGCGAAGGGGCGCGGGATCGGGGGAAGATCCCTCAAGAACACGAGACCCTCCCCCGGCCACAGCACACAGAACCTCCGAGGGCACCCTCCCCGGGGCGCACGAGAACGCCCCAACAGGCACGAAGAACACCACCAGGGCACCGTCCCCGCACCGACCTCGGCCTGGCACCTCTCGCTCCGAGCGTGCCCCCCCCTCCCTCTCCTCCGGCCTTCGTGCCCTGCACGTCGACGTAGGCCCCCGTGTGCGCGCGGAGGTACACCTCGTCCCCAGACTGCAGCCCCGCGGGCTCTTCGCCGGCCGCCCCCCGGCGGTCCGGCCCATCTTCGGGAGCGGCCGAGAGGGGGGTGTCCAAGAGGGGGGGGGCGTGCAAACCCATGACCGGCGGCATGTGCGCGGCCCAGCGGGGGGGCCAGGGACGTAATGAAATAAGAAGAGGCGCCATGAGATCTGGGGAAATATCATGGCCCACGCCATGATATCCACCCCTCCCCTAGTCATCACCCCCCTCTTTTCCGCCCCCGTCCATCGCCTGCGGGCTCGGCGGCCGCGGCGGGGGCGGGGCCGCCGGCGGCCGCGGCGGGGGCGCTGCGGTGCCTGGCGGTGCTGGTGGTGGTGCGCGTCCTGTCGAGCAGAGAGAGTGAAGGGGCCCTGGGACACACAAGTAGTAAGTACACACAAAAAATACGCAAAACATAGTCCCCAGACTATTGTTGGACTATTATTTGATTATGTGGGGGGTATATCTTGAATTGTTCGTCGAACATCCCCCTATAGGGGGGCACGCCCGACTGAACCCTACATTTTTGTACACAGCTTGCCACCGCTCGGGCGTCCATTCCCGTGTGCGCTTCTTTCGGCTTCGTGCGCTTTTGTGAAGGGGCCCTGGGACACACAAGGATGTACACACAAATAAAAAAGGCTATTCCCCCTATTTTACCATACTTTCTGGGCGTCTGTCTCCCCCCCCACTGCCCATATGTTCCCATATTCTCTATGACGAACGGACAACACGCACCCATACCCATAGGGGGGTCGTTGGGAGGAAGACTGGCTATGGGTATGGGTGCGGGTTGTCGGACCCTGAGGAACGCTCCCGATCGAGCGGGGACCTCCATCCGACAACACGCACCCATACCCCTCTCCGATCCCCCTATGGGTATGGGTGTGTGTTGTCGGTTCGTCACTCTAGGAGATCGACGATGAATCGTGTCTGTGTTTTTTTTTCTCCTCCTGAGAGGGGCAGTCTATCCCTCCCTCGAGCTCCCCCTGGCGGGGGCCTCCACGGCGGCCCTCGTCGCCGCCGCCGGATCCGCCGCGAGAGCCTGGCGCGGAGCGCACCGGGGAGAGGCCCGGGGCTGGCCATCGCTCGGACGTCCATCTCCTGTGCTTTTTTCGGTTTCGTGCGTGGCTTTTTCGCGAGATGATCAAGGATGCTCCTCGATGGTCCTCGCCGAAGGAAAAGCGCACAACGCACACGTCTGAGCGATGCCAAGGGGGAGCAGCGGTGGGGGGTTCTTCAGACCCGATGTCTCGGCTATTAGGGGCCGCAGACCGTAAAGGTGCGCTGTTGGGCCATCTCGTATCTCAGAGTGCTCTCAACATCAGGAGACACCATGAGGAGCGCTGAGTTTAAGTCGGGCCTGTCCCCCTCCCTACAGGGGGATTCTCGACAAAAAATACCCCACAAATACCCCAACAAGGTCAACAAATATGCATATATATATATATATATATAGAGTCCCCAGACTATTGTTGGACTATTATTTGATTATGTGGGGGGTATATCTTGAATTGTTCGTCGAACATCCCCCTATAGGGGGGCACGCCCGACTGAACCCTACATTTTTGTACACAGCTTGCCACCGCTCGGGCGTCCATTCCCGTGTGCGCTTCTTTCGACTTCGTGCGCTTTTGTGAAGGGGCCCTGGGACACACAAATGAATACACACAAATAAAAGGATTCCCCCTATATTTTCCCATATCTTCTGGGTTTCTGCCTTCCCCCCACTTCCCTTATTTTTCCTGGGAATCGACGATAAATGGTGTCTGTGTGTGTTGTTTCCCCTCCTGAGAGGAGCGCACACGTCCGAGCGACGCCAGGCGTAGGGCAGGAGAGCAGTGTGCATGCGCGCATCGACTCCTGGACTGGTCCGCCCGGGGCCCAGGCCCGGCGCGCGCGCCCTCCTCCCGGGGATGGACCGACCTGCCTTTCGCAAAGCGTGGCTTAGTGAAAACGACCTGAGGCCCAAACCTCTCCTCCTCCTCCTCCTCCTCCTCCTCCTCCTCCTCCTCCTGCTCCTCCTCCTCTTCCTCCTCCTCCTGCTCCTCCTCCTCCTCCTCCTCCTCCTCCTCTTCCTCCGTCTCCTCCTCCGGGCGCCAGCCTGGCAAATAACGGCCGCGGCGCCCTCTCGAGAGCCGAAAACGGACAATTCACTAATCGACGCGTCACTGCTGGGGGTTCTGTCCAGCACCGATCCTCGCTCGGCCCAGGGAGGCACGTGCACCGATCCTGGGCCCAGGATGGAGCTGGCCAGGATCGGCGCATGTGCCTGTTGGGGGTGGCCGGGAGGTCCGAACGGGACGGGGCCCTGGACAATCGATCAAGAGGGGGGGCGAGGCCACATCCGCTCGAGATCGGTACCCCAGATCCCAGATTCGCTTTGGACGACCAAGGGCGCCCAGAAGCGGCCCCCAGAGTCCGAAAGAGACAAGACACCGTCTCTCGAATCCAGAACCTCGACCCTGTCCTTCCCCGCCCCCCTATTGAGTGGTGGCCCGAACCAGTGCTGGGCCACCTCAAGACCCCCCGCTGGCTCCCGCGTGCATATGTTCGGTCGGGCATGTCCCCCATACACGCGGATTTTGGAGGAAAAATTGAAATAGTCAAAGAATACTCAATCGTTGCCAATAATGGTCGAGAAATCGTCCCCGGACTATTTTCTACAATGTTTGAACACTCCTCCTGCAGAGGGACATGCCCGACTGAATGCATGTTTCTCACCGCCCGATCCTGGCGGCGCTGGTGGTGGCAGCCTGCGTCGGGGTCGTCGGGGCGGCGGCGGCGGCGGTGGTGGTCTCCTCCTCGGTGGAGGGCAGCCGCGTGGCCGCGGCCACAGGCGCGGGGTCCTCCGCGGCGACCAGCGGGCCCTGGCCGGCGGCGTCCTGCACCGAGCCGCCGCCGAAGGCGGCAGCGGCCTCGGGGGCGGGTGGCTTTCTTTTTCGAGTAGGGGATCGACTCCAGGATTGATTCACCTCAAACTTTCTTTCCCCCGTCGAAGCTACGACGAATGCGCATAAAATGTTCGTAAACATGCTGAAAGTTCTGAGCATTTCCGTGGATTCGACGAGAAAACTGATTATGGGGTACATGTCGATCCGCTACTCGATGTTTTGGTGGTTGTGATGGTAAGTCGCTCAGCCAGCCTTAGCACTAAGTCGAGCATGTCCCTCTACAGGAAGAATATTCAAGAATAGTCTAAACATGGTATGGGGACGATGTTTCGATTGTTGTTCGACTGTGTTCGAGCATGTTTTGAATATCTTCCTTCGCTCGTCCAAAGCCCACCTGTAGGAGGACATGCCCGACCTAACCTTAGCAGCGAGCAGACCCAACTATATATATATATATATACATATAAATATATATATATATATATATATATATATACAGCCTGGGTACATAGATGTATATATATAGAGAGAGGGGCCTCGGCCCGGCCCTGCCCCTGGTGCCAACTCGAGGACTCCACGCGGCACGTGCTGGCCGTGCTCCCGCACGCGCCGGACACGCCGGGGGGGCCAGGGGAGGGGAGGGAGGGCCAGGACGGGGACGGTGGCCTGCCTCCGGAGAGGCAGGCCCAAGAGAAGAGTGCAGGGCAAGAGCAGGGGCGAGCGCGCTGTGCGCGAGTAGCTCACCCCAGCGAGCACAGGGGAGCATCGGCGCGCAGGACGGGCCCCGACAAGATAAGAAGACAGGGCTGCCCCGAGCAGTCCTGCTAGAGAGGCGGAGGGGAGGGAGGGGGGGAAGAAGGAGAGGAGCGGCCACCACAAGGGACGGGCCCAACACCGCAAGGGAGGGGCCGGCCTCCGGGCGGGTGGCGATCCAGTGCAGCGAGTTCGTCAGGGAGTTCCCGTTGGCGGCCGCGTTGCCTCAGAGGAGGAAACCAGGTACTGACACCGCTGCTACACCCTTGCCCTCCCTGTCGCCTTCCTTGGACCTCCTGGGAGTCCCTTGTTGCCACGGCTAGATTCGCCTCGAAATTCTTGTCAGACCGCACCCTGGGAGAGCTCTGGGGATTAGCGATTAGCGGTATCAATATCTTCTGGTTCCCCGTTGCCAGTGTCAAAGGCGTCAGCCGGCAGCGAGTGCACACACTCGCGGGCGGCCGCGGGGTCGAGCACTGCCTGCTCGAGGCACATGGGCCACGACCAGCCCTTGGCGCACTCGGGGTCCTGCTCGCACTCCCGCTTGTAGACGGCGGAGTCCTGCTCTACCCACTCCTTGTCGAGGTAGTTCTCCATCGCGGGCACGAACGGGAGCAGCTGGATGCCGCTGACGATGTACGGGGCTCCCCCGAACCAGGTCTGGTGCTCCACGACGTGGTCCCACAAGATCCCGATGACCTGGTCGGGGAAGTCTTCCCCGTAGATGCCGGTGGACTTGCGCACGTGCCAATACGTGTCCGCACCGTGGGACTCCATTGCCGTGAGCAGCCGCCCGAAGTCCTTGAGGTCCGAGGCGAACGGAGCATCCACAGAGGCACCGTACGCATAGACGGCGTAGTAACTGTGGATGGACTCGCTGGTGCTCTCCTGGTTCCGACCATTCTCGTAGGCTTGCGGGATGCCACCCGCCCACGAGGTCCCCAGGAACCAGTCCTGGAAGAAGGCAGCGCGGCACAAACATGAAGTTTCGAGGTTCCGCCGGGGTTTCTCGGATCGGCGTTAGACTCTCCTCCCTGGCGCGCAGAGCGCGCCAGGGGCGGCGCCCGACGCGCCACCAGAGGCGTCCAGCGCAGATCCAAGAAGTCCGTGCGGACCTCCGAGAGCTTAGGCACGTGCCGCTCGTGCTCCCCGGACCTCTCCCGGGGTGCGTTCTGACCACAACGTCGAGGAGAGCCAGCCGTGGCGACGAGAGCTCTCCAGGACGAGCAGCGTCATCGGTACCTCCTCCTCCTCCTCCTCCTCCTCCTCCTCCTCCTCCTCCTCCTCCTCCTACTCCTCCCCCCCCTCCTCCTCCTCCTCCTCCTCCTCCTCCTCCTCCTCCTCCTCAGGGACGAGCAGCGGTATCGGTATCAGTTCCTCCTCCGACCTTCGCCACGGTCCTTGTGCCGGGCGAGGGGGAAGCTCGCGTCTTCCGAGGACGGGTTGGCGTAGTCGCGCACGACCGCCAGGATCTGCTCCCTCCACTTCTTCTCCCACGCGGGCGCGTACTTGGCGGCCACCGCCGCGCCGTACACATAGTAGCCGTAGTGGAAGTGGTGGTCGTTGTAGTAGGCGTTGCCTGTAGAGCATGAGCACAAGAACATCAACGGCATTGTGTAAAACAGGGCTAGGATCGGGATAAATCCGCCGACCCCTTGGGGATCATCGGCGTGTGAGATGCTTCCCCCTCCCCAAACCCCTCCCCCGGGAGCCCGGTCCGGTCGATTTGGAGGGGGGGGGGGGTCCGGGACGAGCGCAGCACGGCCGGGACGAGCAGCAGCACGGCCGGGACGAGCGGTTCACGGGGCTTTTCCGGGCCCAAGAGGGCCTCAAGACGGGCCAAGAAGCCCCCAAGAGGCCTCCAAGACGGCCCACGAAGGCCCCGAGACGCCAAACGACCGCTCCAAGACGCCCAAGATGGCCCCAAGACGGGCCAAGAGGTCTCCAAGACGGCCCCCGAGGTCCCAAACAAGCCTCCCAAGAGGACCCCAAGAGTCTAAAATTGTTGATTTTCCATAGTGTTTTTCGATGTTTTTTGCTTTTCCGCCTTTTCGGCTTCCCGACGCTCCAAGACGGCCAAAGAGGCCCCCAAGACAGCCCCAAGATGGCCCAAGAGGCCCCCAAGACGGCCTCCAGACGGCCCAAGACGGCCCCAACACGGCCCAAGAGGTCCCCAAGACGGCCCAAGAGGGCTCCAAGACGGCACCAAGAGGGGCCCAAGAGGGCGACCAAACATGTTGAAACTCTAGCTTTCTGCCCCCAGGAGCCCCAGGGGGCCCCAAGAGTGCCCCAAGAGGCCCCCAGAGGCCCTCACGAGGCCGCCCAGACGCCCCAAGGAACCCCCAAGAAGCACCCCAGAGGCTCCGAAACGGCCCCCAAGTGGCTCCAAAACTCGCTTTTCACCCCTTCGCAGCTTCTACTACCCCCAGATTGGCATAAACAAGGGGTCGGCGGTGTGGCGTAAGCCTAAGAATCGCTCCAGAGCGTTCCGGAGCGCTCTCAAAGCGTTCCGGAACGCTCTGGAGCGGCCGCGGCGCCCAATACATCCTCCAAACCCGCCGACTCTCAGAGATTTCGAGTTATCCCGACCCGATTTTGTCCCGATCTTCGCGTCGTTTTATTGTGCCTCGAGCGATCCCCATCCGAGAACAGAACGCGAGGCGGGATACCCAGGGAGCACCGGCACACTTTGGGCCTGGCGGCCGCGCCACGCAGCCGCCACTCGTCGAAGGCACGAGGCGGGATACTCAAGGAGCGCCGACACACTTCAGGCCCAGTGGCCGCGCCATGCAAGGTGTGCGAGGCTTTGGGCGCCCGAGTGATCCGGGGTAACTCGGGTCCGGGGTAACTCGGGTCTGGATTCCCGAAAAAAGGAACCCGAGTTAGCCCTGACCCGAGTTACCCCTGATGATGTGGGGTTCTGGACGCCCGAATCATCCGGGGTAACTCGGGTGCGGGGTAAGTCGGGTTCGGATTCCCGAAAAACGAACCCGAGTTAGCCCTGACCCGAGTTACTCCTGATGATTCGGGGCTCTGAAGGCTGGTCGGGAGCTCCTTTCTTTGATTTCGGAGGTCCGCGCGGATTTCTCGGGCCGGCGCTGAGCCACCCTGGCGGCGCCGCCCGCGCCGCCCCCTGGTTTACCAGGGGCGCGCCAAGGCGGGGGGAGGGGATGCAGCGCCGACCCGAGGCATCCGCGTGAACCTCCGAAAATCCTTGCTTGTGGATATGCGTGGGGGAACAAAGGGCACCGACACCGCTGCTCCCGGGACCTCTCCCGGGGTGCGCTCTGACCAGAGGTTCGAAGAGAGTCCCGCCGAGGCGGCGAGGGCTCTTCGGCACGAGCAGCGGCATCGGCACAGCTTGCTTCTGTGAGCTTTCTCTTCTCCGACTGCCGAAATTCATGCCGGCCGACGTGAGGGCAGGGCAATTCGTCGCGGGCTTCTTGTCGTTGGAGCAGTACGGGTCGCACTTGCCGCCGCAGTCGTCGTACGAGCAGCCGCAGGAGAGCAGGCCGCCCCAAGTGGTGTCGTAGATGAACGGTGCCTGCGCGTCCTCGTGGAACCAGGCCTCCATACGGGCTGTGAGCCGGCCCACCATATCCGAGAAGTACGCCTCCTGAAAAACAGAAGAACAAAGCAAGTGCATAGACACACAACATTCAATGGTTCCCGCGGACCTGAATCGGCGCTGGACCGCCCTGGCTGGCGCGCGGAGCGCGCGAAAGAGAGGGGTCCAGCGCCGATCCAAGAAGTCCGCGCGGACCTCCAGAGCTTAGGTGGATGCTGCTCCCTCGCCCTCGGCTCCTGCGACTCGCCGAGCTCGTCGGCGACCACGATGAGCCTCGCCAGCCTGGCCAGCATCTTCCCCGCGAAGTAGGTGTCGCCCACCCCGAGCCGGTAGTTCAGGGGCAGGTCGAAGTCCTTGTCCGGCATGCTCCCGTTCCACATGGCGCCGCCCGGGCCGCGCAGCGCCGCCCGCAGCTCCTCCCGCAGCCCGCCGGCGATCGGCCGGGGCCCCGCCAGCCCCACGTCCGGGAAGAGGGGGTACGTCAGGACCCAGCTCTTGCCCGCAATGGGCCTGGCCGGGGCTCGACCCGGGCAATGTCTGCCGCCACCGTGCCGCTGCTCCGTTCTGGCCTCGCTCCGCCCCCATTCCTGCAGGACGGACAGAGCCAGAGCGGAGGCGGCCCACGAGGTCGCCAAGACGCAGCTGATGGAAGAAGGAAGGACGCCACAGACGTAAACTGTTGGCGCTCTGCACGGATTTCTGGGATCTGCGCTGGACCCCCCTCCCTGGCGCGGGGAGCGCCGCCAGGGAGGGCCCAGGCGCGGATCCGAGAAATCCGCGTGAAGCGCTGAAAGCTTGTGTTTACGGCGTTTTGCTCTTCTTCGAGCTTGCAGCAGGGTACCGACCACAAGAAACCTTCCACAAGAAACCCAACCCTGAGACCCCAGGACGTCTCCATTGAGTTCTGGTGTGTGGGAACGTCGCGCTCTCGACGGCAAAACCACCGACACCCAAGGAACCCAGGGCACCCTGGAAGCAAGCAGGGTGCTCTGTTCCTGGCATGGGTCTCCACTGTATGGCGTTGTTTCTTCTTCGAGCTTGGGTTCAGGTCGGGCATGCCCTCCTGCAGGGGGATTCTGGACGAAAAAACAAAGTACTCAAACATAGTCGAGAAAGAATCGAACCGTCGCCCCCCGACTCTGTTTGCACCGTTCTTGCATGCTCCCTCCTGCAGAAGGACACGCCCGACGTGAGCTCAGGCCGAGCTCCCCGGACCTGGCAGGCCCGCGGATGTCGTGGAACGGCGTGGCGCGCGCGCCGGCCTCCACCGAGTCGAGCAGGCCGCGGGGCAGCAGGGGCACGTGCACGGGGTAGGCGAGCTGCACCGGGGCCGCGCCGCCCCGGGTGCCGTCCAGCTCCCGGACCTCCCACTCCTCGGCGCGCCGCGCGCGGAGGCGGGGGGCGAAGATGGAGGAGGAGGAGGAGGAGGAGGAGGGGGAGGAGGGGGAGGAGGAGGAGGAGGAGGAGGAGGAGGAGGAGGAGGAGGAGGAGGGGGAGGGGGGGCGAAGATGGAGGAGGAGGAGGAGGAGGAGGAGGGGGAGGAGGGGGAGGAGGAGGAGGAGGAGGAGGAGGAGGAGGAGGAGGAGGAGGAGGGGGAGGGGGGAGAGGAGGAGGAGGAGGAGGGAGGATGAGGAGGAGGGGAGAGGAGGAGGGGCTGCGCCACGTTTTTTTTTTTTGTGCCTCGGCGTCGGGGGATGGGGATAGAGGCGAGCAGGAGGAGGCCTGCTCGAAATGCCCCCCTCCTCTCTGGGGTTGTGGGGGGTGGGGGAGTGTGTGGAGGGTGGGGGGGGGGGGGGGGGGGTGGGTGGGGGGGGGGGGGGGGGGGGTGGGGGGGGGGGGGGGGGGGGGGGGTGGGGGGGGTAGTGGGGGGGGGGGTGGAGGGGGGGGGGGGGGGGGGGGGGGGGGGGGGGGGGGGGGAGGGCGGGGGGGGGGGGGGGGGGGTGGGGGGGGGGGGGGGGGGGGGGGTTGGGGGGGGGGGGGGGGGGGGGGGGGGGGGGAGGGGGGGGGAGGGGGGGGGGCTGGGGGGGGAGGGGGGGGGGGGTGGTGGGGGGGGGGGGGGGGGGGGTAGGGGGGGGGAGGGGGGGGGGGTGGAGTGGGGGGGGGGGGGGGGGGTGGGGGGGGGGGGGGGGGGGGTGGGGGGGGGGGGGGGGGGGGGGGAACTTTCGGGTCCGAGGTTCGAGGTATTTTCTGACTTTTTCGTCGGTTCTCGGCGATTTTCCAGCCTCGGGATACTTACCAACAACTGCGCCTCGCCGAGTACGTTCCGAGGGTGCCCGGATCGTCCCGAACGGCCACTGGAGACACGAGTTATGACCCCAAAACCAATTCGGCGGCGCGCCCGTGGGGAAGGTGAGCAGGAGAAGGCCTGCTCAGAAGGCGGCGGGACCTCTAAAAGAAACCCTCGCGCCTGCCGAGAAGTGCTCTGCGTCTTCGGGGAAGGCTCGGGAAACTTCTCAGAAGGCTGGGGGGCTGCCGAGCCTTCTGGGAAGGCTCGCCCATTCCCACTGCCCCCCCGGACCCGCCGCCGATCCTCACGAGCGGCGAACGTATCCGTATACCCGCGCCTTCGCGGTCTGGGTTCTGGGGCGCGAAACTGCGGATCGAGACGGAGAGGCATCGTGTTCGGAAGAAGGGGCTGGAAAGATACAGGGCACGACTGCGCAACAGGCACCTTCAACATGCGTGATCACATGGATGGTATAACCATTTCTCCCAGCCCCATCCTCCAAACCTGATAGGTGGCTTTCTGACAGAAACGTACGCGGTCGCACGGAGACGTCTTGCGCAGGGAACCAGCGAAAAGACGCCCCGAGTCCGCGGGGTCAAAGCCCAGAGGCCTGGCCCGCGAGGCCGCGGATACGGATGTTTTTCGCCCACGAACTCCCAGGTGACGTGACCCTCGTTCTCGGCCACCTCGAAGTCCCAGGAGACGCCCACTGGGTAGGCGCCGGCGTGGTCCTTGGGGGGGAACTGACGATACAGCTACTACAAAGACCTCTCCAGGGGAGCGTTCTGACCAGAATTTCGAGGAGAATCCAGCCCTGGCGACGAGAGCTCTCCAGGACGAGCCTCCTCCAAGACGAGCCTCCTCCTCCTCCTCCTCCTCCTCCTCCTCCTCCTCCTCCCCCTCCTCCTCCTCCTCCTCCCCTCCTCCCCTCCGTCCCCTCCTTCCCTCCCTCCCCCCTCCCTCCTCTCTCCCTCTCCCTCCCTCCCTCCTCCTCCTCCTCCTCCTCCTCCTCTCCTCCTCCTCCTCCTCCTCCTCCCTCCTCCTCCTCCTCCTCCTCCTCCTCCTCCCTCCTCCTCCTCTCCTCCTCCTCCTCCTCCTCCTCCTCCTCCCTCTCCTCCTCCTCACCTCCTCCTCCTCCTCCTCCCCTCCTCCTCCTCCTCCTCCTCCTCCTGATCCTCTCCTCCTCCTCTCCTCCTCCTCCTCCTCCTCCTCCTCCTCCTCCTCCTCCTCCTCCTCCTCCTCCTCCCCCCCTCCTCCTCCTCCTCCTCCTCCTCCTCCTCCCCCTACTCCTCTCCTCCTCCCTCCTCCTCCTCCTCCTCCTCCTCCTCGTCCCCCTCCTCCCCCTCCTCCTCCTCCTCCTCCATCTTCTCCCCCGCCTCCGCGCGCGGCGCGCCGAGGAGTGGGAGGTCCGGGAGCTTGGAGTCGGGACGGCTTGGCGGCCGGCCAGGACCTGGAGTCGGCCAGCCAGGACGGCTTGGCGGTGCACGGCGGGCGCGCAGGCTCAGCGCGCGGGCCAGCCAGCGGCAGCGGCGGGGCGGCCCGGCCACGGCGCCCAGCGGCCCGGGGTTCGGCCCGGGCGCCCTGCGGCCGCGGCGGGGCGCAAGCGGCGGCGGTGCTGCGGGCAGGCAGCGCAGGCGCCCGGCGGCCGCGGCGGGGCGCAGGCGGCGGCGGGTGCCCAGACGCGGCCGCCGGAGCCGCCCCAGGGAATTCTGAGCGCGCATGCAGGGGCGCTCAGAATTCGGCCTCCGAGTGCCCTGGCACGGCGCCCAACGGCCTGGGGCGGCGGCCGCGGCGGGGCGCAGGCGGCGGCGGTGCTGCGGGCAGATTCGGCCCTGCATGCGGGTCCCCCGCGCCGGGGGGGGATTCGCCGCCCGCGCGGGAATTGGCCGAGTGCCAGCCAGACTCGGCCAACCCGCGCGCGGGCCCCGCGGCCCCCCCCGCGGCGCGCCCAGCAGCCCCAGAGGCGTTCCTGGCGGCCTTAGCCCGGTCGCAGGCGTACCCTGAGGATGCGTCAAGGTACGCCTCAGCTGCGCCGCCCCCGGCGGCCCTGGCGGAGGCCGCCGGCGCGGCCTGGGGCGCGGGGCTCGGCATGGCGCAGTTTGCCTGGGTGCTCAAGGTGCTGGCGGCGACGGCCGAGCGCCTTTGCAGGGAGTACCTCATGGGCGCGCGCCGCAGTGGGGCGGCCTGGAGGGATGCTTTGCGGGCAGACTTGGCCAAAGGCGCCCCGATGCTCCACCGCTGGACCAAGGAGCCAGGCAGCGTCGACCCCGAGATCACGGCGGCTGCGCAGGCCGTTCACGACAGGGCGGCAGACCCTGTGGCGCTGTTGGCGCAGTATCATGGTGACTGGAAGCGGCACTGGCGCGGGCTCGAGCCTCCGCTGGCGGCCCGGCGGCTCGGCGAGCTCCAGCAGGCCCTCGACGCCTTGGTGACGGAGGAGGGGCAGGGCTACGAGAACCTGTACGTCACAGCCGACGACGTCGGCAAGTCGGCCAGCCGTTTCAAGCCGGGCACCTGCATTCCAGCAGGGACCCACCCTCGACACCTCGGTTGGTTCCAGGACCTCGACGCCAGTGCTTCCCTGCTGAATGTGGTGACGGCGTCGGGCGTGCTGCCCACGTGCGAGCAAGAGCTGATGGCGGCGCAGTACCCGAAGCCTTTGGGTGGTGGGCGCCGCCCCATCGGCCAGTTCAAGGCCCTCTACCGCGTCTGGGGCAAGTGCCAGAGGCCGAGGTTGAGGGCATGGCAGCGCGACCTGGACGATGGGGGCATCCTCAACACAGGGGAGGGCAGGAAGGTCACGGACTGCGTGTGGCGCGATGCTGCGCGCGGCGAGGCAGCGGTCGGCACGGGCCAGGCCTTCCTCGTGCTGCTGTGGGACCTGGCCAAGGCCTTCGAGAAGGTCTCGCACGCCAAGCTGATCCAAACGGCGCGTGCTGTGGGCTTCCCCGCGGCGATCCTGCGGCTGGTGGTCGGCGCTTTCAGGTGGGCCAGGTACGTGGTCATGGACGGGATGGTCTCCGCAGGCATCCTGCCCGACAGCGGCAGTGTGGCCGGGTGCTTTGCTGCGACGTACGCCTTGGCGGCATACCTCATCGCGGACTTGAAGGCCCAGCAGGAGCACCACCCCGAGGTGCTGCTCTCCGTCCACGTAGACGACATCGGGCAGGAGGTCGTGGCGGGCACGGAGGGCGAGGCCATCGCGCTCCTCGTCGACGCCGCCAGGGACCTTAAGGCCGCGCTGCAGCAGGACCTGCACATGGAGCTGGCCAGCGGCAAGGGCACCGCTCTCGGCTCCACGGACCGCATCTCCAGCTGTGCGCAGGACTCCCTCCGCAGCCTTGGCCTGCCGCCGAAGGCTGCGTGCCGCCGGCGCGGGACGGGCTCCATGAGGTACCTCGACGTGGACTTTCGCGCGGGCCGCCGCGCCCAACTGCGCGGGGTGCCCGGTGCTCGTCGCAGCGGCGCCGCCAGCCACAGACGCGACCTCCCTGGCGTCATCCACAGCGCAGGCCCTGTGAGGAGGGCGAGGCTACGCCTGGGCCGAGCGCGGATGCGCAAGGCGCTGCAGGCGGCCGCCGTTCTGGCGGGCTGCAAGCGGGTCTGGCACACTGCGGCGCTCCCGTCTGCACGCTGGGGTGGCGAGGTCACGGGTTTCACGGACCTCGAGATCAGCGACCTCCGCTCCCGCGCGAAGCGCGTGCACGGGCACCCGTACGTCAGCAGCGACATCATGGGCGCGCTGCTTCCCGCCTTGGATCCGCTGGGCGACCTCGCATCGGCTGGCATTGTGAGGTACGCGGAGGAGTGGTGGCGCACCACAGACCGCAGGCAGGCGAATGGGCGCGTCATCCCAGCTCCCTGTCTGAAGGCTGCCTTCGACATGGCCCTCGGCGACTACCACGAGGGCCGCGCTGAGGCAGGGCCCATTGGGGCCATGTTGCGCGTGCTGAAGTGGGCGGGCTGGACCGCCATGCATGCAACCTCCTTCCTCTCGCCCACGCATGGCGAGATCTCCGTCCTCGCTCGAGGGCCCAAGGAGGTTGGCCTGATCTTCCAGGCCGACGTGCTACGTGAAGTTGAACGGCGTGCGGATGCAGCTGCAGCCTCGGTCTTCAGCCTGACGGACACGCCGATCTGGTGGGAGGCGTTGAGGACTGTCGTGGGCGCCAAGCGCATCGACCCCCTCCATCGCCACATCCTCGTCTCGGTGTTCGGCGGCACGTTCATGACCAGGACGCTGGCCGCCCGACGGGGCTACGCGGTCAGCCCGCTGTGCCCGGCATGCGGCGTCGAGGACACCCCGCTGCACCGCGTCATGGACTGCGGCGCGCTGGAGAGCGGCAGAAGTGAGCAGGATGACACCTGGCCTGAGGCCGTCGCCGCCCTCCGCGCCTTTGCCGACTGCACTCTCGAGCGCCACCTGCTGCCGCAGGGTCCCTCCCTCCACCTCGCGCCTCCTTCGTCTGTCACTCGTGCTTTCGTTGGGGATGAGGAGGTCAGTCTGTCACAGTTCCGTTTTGTCTCTGGGGAGCCCGTGGCTGGTGACGGATCGGCCTCGACTTCGCTGCTCGAGTCGCCTCGTCGGGGGGGGGTCGGGGTTGTGCAGTGGAACCCAGCCACGGGCAAGCTCCACCGTCTCCTAGGGACCCTCCCGCCCACCTCGGCCCAGACGGCCGTGGAGGCGGAGCATCAGGCTTTTGCGGGAGGGGCCAGATTCAGTGATGGTTCCTGTGACTACGTTGGGGATTGCTCAGCGGTCCTCTCAATTGCCCGTGCCGGGGTTGTGGCAGGTGCGACCCCCCGAAGTCGTTTCGCTGGCCTCTGGAGGGGACTGCCAGGGCAAGACGCCGCCTTTAAAGGGCTCCACAAGCAGAAGGCCCATGTAGAGATCCCTGAGAGCCCCGCGTCTCCCGCTGAATGGAGGGCCTGGTTAAATGACCAGGCCGACCAGGCTGCCAAGTCGGCCTGCAAGCTGCACGATATCCACGGCCCCACTCTGGCCCATCTCGAAGACCAGCTTGCGCGGGTCTCGAAATTCGCCGTAGCTGCTGCCCGTGTCCTTGCCTCGGGGCCAGCGCCCCGAGTTGAATGGAAGGACCTTCGACGGGCACAGTGCCCCAAGGTCCCCGCCTGCAAAATCGCCCACGATGTATCCAGGTCGGACCCTCCCGCTGGCAGTGCAAGCTATGTTTGAGGTCTAAGGTGACCCCGCACAGTTCCCTGGACCAGCGGGACTGTAGGCAGAGCGATGTGCCGCCCAGCTTTCAGTGTGTGACCGAATTCGCCCACACACACACACACACACACACACACACACACACACACATACACACACACACACACACGCGATATTGAGTGGTGTAAGCTCACCCCGCGGCCTGAGGCCGAGGTGGGTGACACCTTGTTGTTCTGCAAGAAGTGCTGCCAGTACGCTTCCACGAAACCACTGGGCCTCGGCAAGGTTTGTCCCAATTTTGGGATCCCCTGGTGGAAGCGCAATGAGGCAGCACAGCACAAGTTGCGCCGATTTCTGCAGAGCAAGCACCCAAGCACGGGAATGAGGATAGGATTATTGCTCATTGGCCCCTCTTGGGACAGCTGCACGGAGCTGGCAAGCCTCCAGTTTCTCCCCGCTAGGTTTCGGGCCCGTTTCAAGCTGGCCCCAGTGGCCAGACCTCTGCTGGGTGGAGGAAAAAACCTCCTCCTCCTCCCCCTCCTCCTCCTCCTC